TGAGCTGCAGACTGGAAGCTCTGTAGTTCAGCAGTTCGAGACCCTAGTGCTGTGTGACGGAGTGAGCTCCCGTCTCTGGCTCCAGCACCTGCCAACCTAGCAGTTTGAAAGCAAGAAATTGCAAGTAGATAAATAGGTACCACTTTGGTGGGAAGGTAACAGTGTTCCGTGCACCTCGGTGTTTAGTCATGCCGGTCACATGACCACGGAAACGTGTTTGGACAGCGCTGGCTCTTCGGCTTGGAAATGGAGATGAGCACCACCCCCTAGAGTCAGATTCGACTAGCTTTCAAACAAAGGAAACCTTTACCTTTACCTTTTTTAATGCTTGGAACAGATACAAGGAAGTACTTCTTCATCCAAAGAGTAATTAATATGTGGAATTCACTGCAGAACATGGTGTTGGCTAGAAGCATAGACAGCTTCAAGAGACCGGATAAACATACAGAGCAGAGGACTATAAAGTGGCTATTAGCCACAAAGTATAGGTGTCTGGGGCAGCGATGCTCTGTATTCATGGTGCTTGTGGAACAATAGTGGGAAGGCTTCTGGAGTTCTGGTCCCACTGGTGGACCTCCTGATGGCACCTGGTATGTTTGGCCACTGTTTGACACAGAGCATTGGACTGGATGGCCATTGACATGATCCAACATGGCTTCTCTTATGTTCTTATGTAAGCAAGCAGTCTGGTACACAGGCAGTGTCAGTCTTAACACATTTGTTTCCAAACACAGGATCAACCCCCACCCCCAAGTGCTTTTTGTTATCTAGCTAGGGTAGCTCGGTCTTCCTTCTTTTTCTATGGCAGAATTCAGATTGTCTATTTTTCCTTCTTTGTCACATACATTCCTGAACAGAAAAGCAGTTGCTTTGGGGCCGAAGTATAAAAAGGCAAACTATAAATTCTCTAAATAAAATCCTCCGGTATATATAATTCTATTTTGGTCATGGACTCCCCTGAACATTCCACACGCTCCAAAATCAGTTCGCTCTCTGATCTGTCGTTCAGAGGGTCTCCCTATCCACTGGCTGCTTTGCCTGAGTCCTGCCTCCAACATTCTAAACAGTTTGCTTTTTCCCCCCACCCCCCACCCACAGCCAGTCAGAACACAGAGGTCATTTGCATATGTGGCCTGATTCGCCTTTGCCTCGGAACACAGAGGTCGTTTGCATATGCGGCCTCACTGGCCTTTCCCTCTAATATTCTAAACAGTTTGCTGTTGATGTTCTGAGGTAAAATAAATTTCCCCTTAGTGTCTGTTGGGGGAAACCTTAGTTGCAAATCTCCAGGTGAGGGTTAAAGATCACTCAGAATTACAACTGCTTTCCAGATGGCAGAGATCAGTTCCCCTGGAGAAAATGGTGGACTCTGTGTCCTTAAATCCTGCTGAGATGGCCCCTGCATGACAGCCAATGTGATGTAGCAGTCAGGGCTTCAGCTATTAAAACTGATGTCCAGATGACCCAGATCAGTTACCCCAAACCCTGCCCTCCCCAGGCTCTACCCCTCAAATCTACAGGTATTTCCCAACCCAGAGTTGGCAACTATGTAATCAGCTATGGAACTACTTTCCAGACCCTTGGAACCCAGAAAACATGGCACAGGAGGAGGTGCCACTGCATAACACCCCCTCCCCCTCAAAAATAAGTCAGAGGTGGAGAGAACCATATCTGTTACCATGAAGCTGTCCTCCCATTCTACCCACTTTTGGCAGCAAAATGACTTGAGACAGCCCTGCCTTATAGCTAAGCAGAAGGAAAGAAACATGGGTTGCCTCCGTCCATTTTCCACTTTCCTCTGCCGCCCCACCAGCCACAGTCAAGACACTCATCTGGAGCTTCGTTCTAGATCTCGTTGTATTTCTTCCCTCAACAGGCATTACTCCTAGTAATAAATAATGCTGATCTCAACCCCATCCTTAGATGTAGGCGTGACTACGTGAAGCCAGTGACTTCAGCTACCCAGAATCCTGTGCTTTGTAATGTGTTCCAAAACAAGAGGCTCAGATGACAGATTAAATGTAACACTCCCTATCTTCAACATTACATGGCTCTCAAAGCCATTGCTTCCATGGGTTTTTTGTATTTAATGTTTTTATTAATTTTTATCTTAAATAACAAACAACATCAACATACACTTTCAACAGCAATTATATATTATGTAGCGTATGCTCAATGGTATCCTTTGAGTTTAGTACATAATAACAATTTGGCATAAATTTGTTAAAAGAAGTAATACAAACAAAACTAACAACAACCACATCTGAAAAACATATGAAAACTCACTTTCTATAACATGTATATATGTGCCTCAATCTTAATAGAAGGCATAATCTTTATATTTCTGCGGTAATTTATATAAACTTGGTTGACATGCTGTAACATATTCAAAGAACACAAACCATTTTTCCATAAAATTGTTTACAGAGTTAGGGTTGTCAAAGGTTATAAGTTGCATTGCTATTTTATCTGAGACGACTATGTCCCATATCCTTCTTCTCCACTGTACCAAGGAAGGGGCCTTAACTAATTTCCATTTTGGGGCTATAAGAATCTTTGCGGCCATCAATAAATGAGAGATTATTTCTCCTTTGTTTTTTGAAAGTTTTAACCCTGGCCATGTTTAAGACTGTTCCCAGCCAGGGTATGACCAGAGGGCACAAGATTACAGCAGTCTCGTTAAAGTTAAGCAAACCTGAACCACAGACCTCCAAGGAATCCTCTGAATGTCACCTTGGGCTCCGTAAAGGAAGAGAGGTGTGGTTCACAAATGCAACAAATCAGGCTGGAGTATGAACTTCTAAAAAAAATAATACCCACATGGCCAATGAATGTGAAATGGGTTCACAGGCTTGAGTTAGCAGGGAAAGAACATCAATGAGTGGACAAATGGCTATGCAAACCAAAGATCCCTGGTTCAATCCACAGTTGCAGAAGAAGCCCAGGAATCAGGGCAGAGACGGACTTGTACTGAAGCTCCCGGAGGACCACTGCCAATCAGAGTAGGCAGTACTGGGCCAGATGGACTAACAGACGGACTTGGTACAATACCGTTCCATTAATTTAAATCATTCACCAAAAATACTGTTTTTAGTTTGTTAAGAATCTGTAGAATTGAGGAACAACCCCCCCCCCTTTAAAAACAAATTCAAAGATGTTCTGCCAGCTTTCTCGACCTTATCTAATACAGGATCATGTGGGAGGCAGAATAATCATCATTACATACAAATTTTGCATCTCCCAGGTTTGTACACATAGATTATGGAAGGGAAAACGGATTTCTACAGGCATCTGAATTACATTTTTCCTGTTAATGTTTCTATAGCAAAAACTCCCCATATGGAAACAGAGGGAAACAAGCTTCACATGGTGATTTGGATCACATCTCTCCTTCTACAGGCATCTGAATTTCATTTTTCCTGTTAATGTTTCTATAGCAAAAACTCCCCATATGGAAACAGAGGGAAACAAGCTTCACATGGTGATTTGGATCACATTATATATACATCTGTTTGATGCGATCACACTTGGAACACTTGTCCCTGCCTGCTCGTGAGAGGGTGGGAGAAGAATAGGATTTGAGGCTACATGAGGCTTATCACTGACCACGGATCTGGGGCACACAGATGGCTTGTGTGAGTGAGGTTGTGGGGGCTTGTATTCATCCACTGGTCACTGGATGCCATGATAGTAAGTGGGGCTGCCTGAAGGTGCAGTCAGGTGCCGGGGTGGGGGATTTCAAAGCATAAATGCAGGCAGGGGTCATTTCCTGCAGGAGCGCACAGGAGCGGCGCTCTAGCAGTAAAGAGCCCAGGGAGCGGGCACATGCAACAAGCCCCACCCCCTGCTCCCAGCAGCCCTCAGTCAGAGCAAGAAGCAGCCAGGTAAGTTGCAGAGCTCCCCCTGGCACCCCAGTCCAAGACAGTCCAGTGGCACCTTTAAGACCAGGTTTTATTCAGGTACAAGCTCTCCCTCCTCTGTGAGGGCAGACCTGCATGTTCTCCCCCCCCCCCAATAGCTAGCAATCCAAAACAGTCCAGTAGAGCCTACGGGGTGGGTGTTACCTTCTGACACACTTCCGGTGATGTCAGTGGGTGTGGCATATGCAAATAAGTTATGCTAATGAGTTATGCTAATGAGCGCCTGCACCTCTTTTTCTACGAAATGACCCCTGAATGCAGGGCTGTCCTTTGTAGACCAGCAATATGGCAGCATATTAAACACAATGGGAGGGGAACAGGAAGCCCAATTATGACATTTCCAATTGAAGAGGAATGCTATCACTTCTCATTGGCCCATCTAACTGTCTGACGATTCCTTTTAATCAGAAGACTGCCAGCCCTCTGAGTGGTTTTCCCTGGGGCTCTGGTGACAGCTCTGTTTGAAGAATGGCCTTGCTCATTCACTCCTCCTGAGTTTGCTATTCCCTCCAGCCTGCCTGGATTCTCCTTTGCCATGTTTCTACTTTCCTTCCTGAATCAGTCTCTGCCCTGCAGCTCCCCAAAGCATTTATTGGTTCCGCAAACGTTATGGCGCAGCATTTCTGTTAAGCCAGCAACTTTCACTGAGCAGTCAAGGTCAAGAATCAAGCAGGCTACAACAGGTGATTTTGCTTCTCTCTGGCTTAGAAAGAGTAGGAAAAAACCTAACTAAACAGCATGGAAATCTATACTAGGGTAAAACTGGAAACAAACAGTATTTGCACCAGAGCAACATCAGGAGCAAGTTCCTGTCTTCACTAGAGTTATAAAGGCTCTCCTCAGCCCCCACATTTTGAAATAACTTCCAGGCCATTTTATAACAGCCACTTTGGCTCACTGTGACGAGGAAGCATATTGTTTGGCATCGTGTAAGAGAAGACAGCCTTGGGTGCTTAGCCCTGGGCTATATGCAAGGAGAAGAATGGATTTGTGCCAGGATGCCACCCTCCCCTTCTATCATACAAAATGATTCAGTGCCAGGGGCACGTTCTGAAGACCTCCCAGAACCAACTGACTTACCTTACTTGAGGCGTCTGCTTGGTGGGCACACAGCACCTCGGAGACAGATCGTACCTGAATAAAGCAAGTGCAGGGATGACCTTTGTTCCCTCCTTCCCTCCGTGCTGAATGCCACCTGCCTTCTCCATATAAGGGCAGAAGTATCTAGGAAGGGAAGAGCAGGCAGAGTAAACCGAGGTTCCTCTGCTCACACACTGGCACATTACCCATATCCATGCCACTCTGTCTGTGTACACCTGAGTTGTGCCCATGGGCAGAAAAATGCCTGGCATGGAGTCGGACTGCAGTCTCATTAAAAAAGGCTTGCACAACTTGTCACCCATCATTTCATATGCCACCACATATTGTTGCGACGATCCCCTTGTTTTCAGAATTGACATTGGGGATCCATGTTCAAACCCCTGATGTGTTATTTATCTGCAAAATCATCTGCAGGACTGCTGATATGGATCAGGGCCATGGAGCTGGGGAAGGTGGGATTTCCCTCCATGACAAAGTTCACCACTTCTCCAATAGCTTTTGATCATGCTGCTTTTAGTCCTGATAAGGGAAAAGACTGGTGTCTATGGGCCTGTCTTTTCTGTATAGGGGTTAAAAGCAGGGGCATTTTTAATGAGAGAAATGGTGCAGCTGTTTCACCACTACAGCCACCTTCTAGATTACTCCATCTTCACCAGCCCCCCTCTGTTTTGGGGGTTTTTTTTGGAAAATCAATTGAAAAAATATATAAATATTTATAAAAATACACACAGTCCAATCCTCTGTAACATGATTCTAGTCTGAGTCCATTGAAATATATAGGCTTAGAGCTGTAGCAATTCTGTTTAGGACTGAATTGCATGAGACAGAACTGGGCAAAACTTTGCCATATTTATTGGGAAAACAGTAGGAAGAGCTGGAAACAAAATTCATATGCAGACAAAAAGATAAAATCATACATACAAAAGCTACAGGTGCTAGAAAAAGCAAGAAATAAAGTACTATGAACACCAAAACACGATTCCTCAAATGATATGCACCTGGGGCTTGCTTGCTTCGAGTTGGGAAAGACCTGGAGGGGGGTAACGCCTGAGGAGGGCGGGGTTTGGGGGGGAGGGGAGGGACTTCAGGGGGATAGGCCATACTTTTGTGGCATCCAAGGAGGCCTATTTAGCTGGGTGGCTACTAGGGTCCCCCCTTGTCTTGCTGGTGGGGGGATCTGCGAGGCATTCTGGGAGTGGTCAGGGACCTCCCTGATGCGCCGATGTCACCTGGAAGTGACATCATCGCATCGGCATCACCGGGACGGCGCTCTTGTTTTTGGGCAAAACTCTATGGTAAAATTGGGGTCAAACTGTGAACAAAAAAAGGGAAAGAAACATAACCCTGAAACCTAGAATCAAGAACCTAAAAAGCTAAGTGAAACAGAGTAGAGGGCCAACAATTAAAACTTAATATATATAATATATAAAGATGTGTGTATTTATTTATAAAGAATTTAAAACATATAGGGCCCCAATTATACCTCATATAAAAATTCCAAAATCATACACGCAATGTACTTGACCTGACACGTTTCGGCCTGTTAAGGCCTTCTTCAGAGGTCAAACAAGGAACAAATGGGCTTATATCATAGTACAATTATACAGCATGGGTGCAAAATGGACCAGAAAAGAATTGTTCCAAAGTGAAACCACTGGGCACAGAATAAAGGTATAAACGAGGCCTCTGAAGGTCCAATCACATGCCAAATGATATTTCACTGATAATAATTTCTGATCCAGAAAGTGCCTTTCAATGATTGTTTAGTTCGAGCCAGGTGTCCTCAGCAAAATTGTCCCTTAAGCAAAAAGCAGGGAAAATTTTGCTGAGGACACCTAGCTTTGGGTTTGCCTGTGACCTCTATTGTTTGGAGAGCGGTTGTAATATCTGAAGGTTTCCAGCCACCACCTGGAGTCTGGCAACCCTATGTGTACCTGGGCCCTTCTTTTAAGCTCATTTTACCTTTTGCTTCCATTTCCCGGTCACCAGCACTAAATTTTTGTTTCGCAGGTGTGCATTTGGACATCCTTGCATGCAGTTGTACAAGGATCAGTAGACTGAGTCCTTTTCTGCACCTCAGTGCTGTCACTGTTTCCTGGTGAGTTAAATCCCCAGCTGATGCTCTGACTTTGTGGCAACCATTCCACAAAAGGGCATTTATTTGAGGGTTTTTTTTCTTGAACTGGAGGAAAGGAACTTCATGGATGCGTAATTGTATGGAGAAGGCTACGTGAAACCTTGCTGCCCATTTTGTCCCAATGTTATAACATTGCTCTATCTGTCTGTCTGTCTGTCTATCAGATTTGTATCCCACCCTCCCAGCTGAAGCCTTTATAATGATAAAGCTTTATAATGATAAAGAATTTGTGTTGTAACACAATCAACATTATGCTTAAAAAATTAGCAGATCACCTAGGGGACAACCTGAGGGGGGCAGGAGGGCAGGAGGTGGGGTGAAAATGTGACTTGGATGACACAAAAGGGCAGCGGGAAACAAAATTCGAAATTGGGAATACCTCACTGGAAAACTGCAAGTTCAGATCCAGAGGGGGAAAGAATCACGGGAAAAGTGGATTAGGAAAACGTGGGGTAACAGGGCGCTAAATTCAGATCTACTTGGGGAGGCAAAAAGTTGTGTGGAAAGTTCTACAAATTTCAACTATTTAAGAACGCTGATGTGGAGGTTTGCACTTCTGTGGAAATGGTCTGAGGTACAAATCCAAGAAGCCGATTAAAAATGAAATAATGGTATTTATTTATCCCCTGCTTTTCAGTCAGCTTGGGTTACAAGGGGTTACAATCAAAATCAAAATCAGAGGTTACAGTTGGAATCCATCCCATCCTGCAGAGGCCAGAGGGATTGACAAGCACTGGCGTGATAGTAGTGGGGGGACTCAGAGGACGCAAATTATTACCCACCCCCAAGACCACCTGGCCCAAGGAGTTTCATTTTATTTATTTATTTATTATTCGATTTATTACCCCGCTCGAACCCCCGCTAAGGGGTCTCTGAGCGTCTTACACTTGATTCTCATACCTAATCTATGGCCACAGAAACACAGGGTGGGGGACAATCCCTATCAGCACCCAGTGGAGGTACCGGACA